AGCTAGATGATTGAAGAAATGCGGAAATGATGAAAGAACCAGCACAATAAAATACACAGAACTGATCTACTAATAACGGTTGTCGAATAGAATCTAGTTAGGACTGGAACAGATATGAGAACTAAACAGTATCGAGGACTGGAACAGATATAAGAACTGGAACAGTTACGATAACTTGAACAGTGAAGAGAATTTGATAACTGGAACTGGAAGAGAACTGGAAAAGTGACGCGAGTTGGAAAATTAACAAGATTTGGTGAAGTGAAGAGATTACACAATAACGAGAAATTAAACAGCATCCTAGGTCTGGGACAGTAACCAGGAAAGGAACAATTATGAGTAGGCCTACTTGAACAATTAGGAGGACTTGGACGATCACGAGGACTTTAAACAATTAAGAGGGCTTAAACAATTAAGGGGACTTGAACAATTAGGTGGACTTGAACAATAAAGAGGACTTGTACAATTAAGGGGACTTGAACAATTAAGAGGGACCTTAGCAATCCTTATTATGGTGGTCCGATATTAATTTCAAACCCGTAGGTTCATCATCAGTCGGAAGTTTACGTAGACCAAATTTATGTTATAAAATCCACCCGATGGGTTTCGTAGAAATGTTGACATTTAACACGAAGACACACATTAAAGTTGACATAAATAATATTGACATAATAACTGTAATGTGTGTCTTCGTGTTAAATGTCAACATTTCTACGAAACCCATCGGGTGGATTTTATAACATAAATTTGGTCTACCTAAACTTCCGACTGATGATGAACCTACGGGTTTGAAATTAATATCGGACCACCATAATAAGGATTTCTAAGGTAAGACTTTACTATTTATTTGATTATATAAGCAATCCAGAGGCTGCAATGATAGAGAATTAAGAGGGCTTGAACAATTAAGAGGACTTGAACAATTAAGAGGACTTGAACAATTAGGGGGACTTGAACAATTAAGAGGACTCGAACAAATTGGAGGACTTGAACAATTAGGGGGACTTGAACTATTAGGGAGACTTGAACAATTAAGAGGACTTGAACAATTAGGAGGACTTGAACAATTAAGAGGACTTGAACAATTAGGGGGACTTGAACAATTAAGAGGACTTGAACAATTAGGAGAACTTGAACAATTAAGAGGACTTGAACAATTAGGAGGACTTGAACAATTAGGAGGACTTGAACTGGAACATTGACGAGGGCTGAATCAGTAACGAGGATCTAAACAGTGACGAGAATTAGATTATTTTAATTTATTAACATTTTCTAGTTTGAAGTGTTATGTGATTACAATATTAATTTGTCTTTTGTACGTTAATATATTCAATGAAGTTATGGTGCATCTGTAAATCCAATAAATATCGAACACAAGCAATCACTATTGACACAACAAAAACAAAAAAGCTCGTATACTACTAAAGGAATTATTACTATGAGTTCGATTTTGTAAGGGGACAATAACCTAACAAATTTCACGATGTTTGAAGAGCTTACAAGAGAATTCACCTACAAATTTCCGATCCCTTAATCGTTTTGGTTTTATCCTAGATTGGAAACGTAACAACAATCATATTATGCTACTCACTATGACAGTTTGGGAATTATTAGCGTCAATTAGCTTAAAACACTCACATATTCACGTGACTAGTGAGAAAGGCTGTGATGGATGTCAGCTGATTAATGTGAACAGCTGGGTACATGGTGGGAACGCGGGAAACATCAGCTGTTGCTTCAGTCAGCTGGTAGTCGCCGCACCGGTAACAGCGAAGAGTGCGTTCTGTGTTGTGATGTGAGACTTTGTGTTTGTTATAGGCCATCTCTTCTCGCTTTAAAGTAAGTTTACTGATTATTACTCTCATTTTTGTGGGTAAACTCATAAATTAAATGTAATCCCTCATACATTTGGCATATTTATAATACATGTGAGACAATTTTGAGGTTAGTTTAGTCAAGTTTGTGTAAAGGTCGTTTGTTGTTTACAATAATTTGCTTCTCGATTTTTTACAAACTTTTAAGCTAGAACGATCGCCACGAACATATAACACACAAAGACTTCATATTTTCCAATAGGATCAAGAGCTTCCTTGCAATATTAAAAGACAATGGGAAAAGTTACCTTTCCCATGAATCTACAGTAGGAATCTATATTAGGTCCCATGAACGATAATAATCAATAAGGTTATAATTATAATAAGTATTATTAATAATATTGAATAAATCAGGAAGACACCCTATAGAAGGATCAGAAGGTTGTTATTCATCTTGATTACAATTGAGTAGGCTGAATTCTGAATTAGATAATACCTACATATTATAGAATTTTAATGAAAATATTAACTTATTTTTCTATACTAATTAAAAAAGAACAATGACTAAACTCCCCAAACACAGGTCAGTTTCAATACCTCGTGTGTAACGATAAGTTTCGGAACAAACTGTGTAATAGTTGATCATAAGCCAACTGGAACCAATCCAAGTTACTTAATCTGAAATAGAATAGAAGCTCCACTTAAGTGTGTTCATAATTATTTAATACTGTCTTTTTTTCAACGAACCCATTCTTAAAGAATCTCTATTACAAGTTAAACCGGTATTTACAAAATAAATATACAACACCTGTAATGTATGGCGTATTCAGTTATCTTTAAGAGATCGATGGGCGTAATCTGTTTAGTAATTAAATTGGAACAGGTGATTTGAAAAATAAGAAGCCTATGTTATATTTTTTATTCTCAGTTTTTGAATAGGAGTAGTTCTATTTCTAAAGACTTGAAATTGAGCTGCTTTGCACAAAATCACATCTTGGGAGTGGTGTAAAAACAACTAAAAAAAATTTGAGCCAAATCATTCAGGATTTTAGCAGACCGCTTTCGATCTACAACTGATCTAATTTGTAAATGTTCTGCTTTGTATTAGTCTTACTTGATCTAAGAGGTGCACATATAATTTTTTAATGTTTCCTTCATATTCGGCTTGGTAGTATATTCCAAGTGACTCGAGAAATTAGTGATGATCAAAACTCACATTTTGGCACGCGTGAAGAACTAAAACGCTCCTCATTATACACAATTCTTGGAAATACTACACCCTAAATCACTTACACTCTTAATTTTTTTAACGCCATTAATTGGTACCCAAAAAGATTTCATCTACTTTTTCTATACAGTCTAATAAAATCAGCTAATATGATTATTCAGAATAAAACTATATTCCGTTAATTAGATGTTCATCCGCCAAACAACATTACATTCAAGTTTGAATTCTTTAAATGTTTTTACATCTCAATTAGTCAACAACAGATAATGGGGTAGTAACCGTTGTAAAATTCAATATACAATATACTACGATTAACTAAATGTAATTTCTAAAAAACTATATTATAATATACATTATAAATTATGCCTGTTATCTTCGTAAAAATCAGTAGGAGAGTTAGAAAAATGTACACCCGAACCATATTCTTAAAACAAAGATAAAAATAAGTCCCACTAGGCATGTATCAAACAACCGTTTTGGCTGCATTTAATAGAAAAAACGTCGTGTTGCTGTCTTGATGGAATTAGAACATCAAATTTAAACACTGCAGCTTCAAATTAAATTAACAAACAGTTGATGCCGTAACATTTATAATCAAAAATAACAAATTCAAAGCAAGTATGTAGAACTATGACGGTCTTATGCAAATCTTTACACACTTTGGCGTCGATCCCAAGGGTAAGCTCCAAGTAGGACGTATGTATTTTATCACTGATTTCGCTACTTGGTCTGGTTGTGAGGGCCGTCTAGTTTTTAGCACAAAACCATATATCATTGTGCAATAACATCTTTTTCATAAAGTTTTATAATTATTTAATCTTCAGAAATCAATATGTTGTATAAAGTTATCAACGTTAGCAAACGTTATCAAAACAAGTGTGCCGCTAAAGCACATCCACGGTTTACCAAGCAGGAAATGTCTTTGTCCAATGATAAGCTATCATATGGGGCGAAGAGACCCTGTATAATAATGTCACGTGAACAATTAGCACATAAACGATTATATTAAACATGTACATGAAAGTAACATAACTCATTCTCTGAGATATAGTGAATGAACTTAAACGAGGAAAATATAAGTGAAAAGGTCACTTTCGGTGGTAAGTTTAATATAAGTTATTGTTATTTTTATTCGCAATTTTTATTTTGTTTTGTCAATCTAGTGGCATTTGTCGACGTTATTTTTGTAAGCGAACGGTCCAATCCCGGGTCTTGTCAATATCTAACACCTGCTGTTATAAAGCATTAATTGATTATTTGGTAGTCTAACGACAAATGATATCTGAGTCTGGTAACGATCATCACTTGATGATGCATTATATTTATAATTTAAGTTAATCTAAACCACAGGTTTAGAAATGACAGCGGAGTGTACCGATTTTGAGTGTTGTTACCAACCAAAACAGATCACAGGCTCACAAACCGCAGGGGACTATACCGATTCATGTCGGTGTTGTTATTCAACTAAAACAAACCACAGGCTCAGAAACCGAAGGGGAGTATTACGATTTCGGTGTTGTTATAAAAAAAAAAAAAAAACAAACAACAGGCTCAGAAACCGCAGGGAAGTGTAGAGATTTCGGTGTTGAAATCCAACAAAAACAAGCTACAGGCTCAGAATCTGCAGGGGAGTTTTACGATTTCTGTGTTGTTATGACAAAAAAAAACCACAGGCTCAGAAACCACAGGGGAGTATTACGATTTCGGTGTTGTTATCCAAATAAAAACAAACCACAAGCTCAGAAACCGCAGGGAAGTGTACAGATTTCGGTGTTGAAATCCAACAAAAACAAACCACAGGCTTAGAAACTGCAGGGGAATATACCGATTTCGGTGTTGTTATCCAACAAAGCCACAGACTCAGAAACCACAGGGGAGTGTACAGATTTCGGTATTGAGACCCATCAAAAACAAAGCACAGACTCAGAAACCCCAAGGGAAGTATCCCGATATCGGTGATGTTAAAAAAAAAAAAAACAAACCACAGGCTCAGAAATCACAGGGGTGATACCGATTCTGGTTTGGTTATCCAACAAAAACAAACCATAGGCTCAGAAACCAGAGCGGAGTGTACCAACTTCGGCAATGTTATTGGACAAAAACAAACCGCAGGCTCAGAAAACGCAGGGGAGTATACCGATTTCGGTGTTGTTATCCAACAAAAACAAATCACAGGCTCAGAAACGAAAGCGGAGTGTACCGATTTCGGTGTTTTTATCGAACTAAAACAAATCACAGGCCCAGAAAGCGCAGGGGAGTATACCGATTTCGGTTTTGTTTTCCAACAAAAACAATCCACAGGCTCAGAAACCGCAGGGAAGTATCCCGATATCGGTGATGTTATCCAACAAAAACAAACCACGGGCTCAGAAACCGAAGGGGAGTATACCGAATACGGTGATGCTACGCAACAAAAAAAAACCACATGCCCAGAAACCGAAGAGGAGTATACCGATTACGGTGATGCTACGCAACAAAAACAAACCACAGGCTCAGAAACCGAAGAGGAGTACACCGATTACGGTGATGCTACGCAACAAAAGCAAACCACAGGCTCAGAAACCGAAGAGAAGTATACCGATTGCGGTGATGCTACGCAACAAAAACAAACCACATGCCCAGAAACCGAAGAGGAGTATACCGATTACGGTGATGCTACGCAACAAAAACAAACCACAGGCTCAATAACCGAAGAGGAGTATACCGATTACGATGATGCTACGCAACAAAAACAGACCACAGGCTCAGAAACTGAAGAGGAGTATACCGATTACGGTGATGCTACGCAACAAAAGCAGACCACAGGCTCAGAAACCGAAGAGGAGTATACCGATTACGGTGATGCTATGCAACAAAAACAAACCACAGGCTCAGAAACCGAAGAGGAGTATACCGATTACGGCGATGCTACGCAACAAAAACAGACCACAGACTCAGAAACCGAAGAGGAGTATACCGATTACGGCGATGCTACGCAACAAAAACAGACCACAGGCTCAGAAACTGAAAAGGAGTATACGGATTACGGTGATGCTACGCAACAAAAACAGACCACAGGCTCAGAAACCGCAGGGAAGTGTAGAGATTTCGGTGTTGAAATCCAACAAAAACAAGCTACAGGCTCAGAATCTGCAGGGGAGTTTTACGATTTCTGTGTTGTTATGACAAAAAAAACCACAGGCTCAGAAACCACAGGGGAGTATTACGATTTCGGTGTTGTTATCCAAATAAAAACAAACCACAGGCTCAGAAACCGCAGGGAAGTGTACAGATTTCGGTGTTGAAATCCAACAAAAACAAACCACAGGCTTAGAAACTGCAGGGGAATATACCGATTTCGGTGTTGTTATCCAACAAAAACAAGCCACAGACTCAGAAACCACAGGGGAGTGTACAGATTTCGGTATTGAGACCCAACAAAAACAAAGCACAGACTCAGAAACCCCAAGGGAAGTATCCCGATATCGGTGATGTTAAAAAAAAAAAAAAACAAACCACAGGCTCAGAAATCACAGGGGTGATACCGATTCTGGTTTGGTTATCCAACAAAAACAACCCACAGGCTCAGAAGCCGCAGGGAGTATACCGATTTCGGTGTTGTTATAAAACAAAAAACCCAGGCTCAGAAACCGCAAGGGAGTGTACAGATTTCAGTGTTGTTATCCAACAAAAACAAGCCACAGACTCAGAAACCACAGGGGAGTATACCGATTTCGGTGTTGAGACCCAACAAAAACAAAGCACAGACTCAGAAACCGCAAGGGAGTGTACAGATTTCGTTTTGTTATCCAACAAAAACAAACCACAGGCTCAGAAACCAGAGCGGAGTGTACCAACTTCGGCGATGTTATTGGACAAAAACAAACCGCAGGCTCAGAAAACGCAGGGGAGTATACCGATTTCGGTGTTGTTATCCAACAAAAACAAATCACAGGCTCAGAAATGAAAGCGGAGTGTACCGATTTCGGTGTTTTTATCGAACTAAAACAAATCACAGGCCCAGAAAGCGCAGGGGAGTATACCGATTTCGGTTTTGTTTTCCAACAAAAACAATCCACAGGCTCAGAAACCGCAGGGAAGTATCCCGATATCGGTGATGTTATCCAACAAAAACAAACCACGGGCTCAGAAACCGAAGGGGAGTATACCGAATACGGTGATGCTACCCAACAAAAACAAAGCACAGGCTCAGAAACCGAAGGGGAGTATACCGATTACGGTGATGCTACCCAAAAAAACAAACCACAGGCTCAGAAACCGAAGAGGAGTATACCGATTACGGTGATGCTACGCAACAAAAACAAACCACAGGCTCAGAAACCGAAGAGGAGTATACCGATTACGGTGATGCTACGCAACAAAACAAACCACAGGCTCAGAAACCGAAGAGGAGTATACCGATTACGGTGATGCTACGCAACAAAAACAAACCACAGGCTCAGAAACCGAAGAGGAGTATACCGATTACGGTGATGCTACGCAACAAAAAAAAACCACAGGCTCAGAAACTGAAGAGGAGTATACCGATTACGGTGATGCTACGCAACAAAAACAAACCACAGGCTCAGAAACCGAAGAAGAGTATAACGATTACGGCGATGCTACGCAACAAAAACAGACCACAGGCTCAGAAACCGAAGAGGAGTATACCGATTACGGCGATGCTACGCAACAAAAACAGACCACAGGCTCAGAAACCGAAGAGGATTATACCGATTACGGCGATGCTACGCAACAAAAACAAACCACAGGCTCAGAAACCGAAGAGGAGTATACCGATTACGGTGATGCTACGCAACAAAAACAGACCACAGGCTCAGAAACTGAACAGGAGTATACCGATTACGGTGATGCTACGCAACAAAAACAGACCACAGGCTCAGAAACTGAAGAGGAGTATACCGATTACGGTGATGCTACGCAACAAAAACAAACCACAGGCTCAGAAACCGAAGAGGAGTATACCGATTACGGCGATGCTACGCAACAAAAACAGACCACAGGCTCAAAAACCGAAGAGGAGTATACCGATTACGGCGATGGTACGCAACAAAAACAGACCACAGGCTTAGAAACTGAAGAGGAGTATACCGATTATGGTAATGCTACGCAACAAAAACAAACCACAGGCTCAATAACCGAAGAGGAGTATACCGATTACGGTGATGCTACGCAACAAAAACAGACCACAGGCTCAGAAACCGAAGAGGGGTATACCGATTACGGTGATGCTACGCAACAAAAACAAACCACAGGCTCAGAAACCGCAGGGGAGTATACCGGGTTCGGTGTTATTATCCAACAAAAGAAACCACAGGCTCAAAAACAGCAGGGGAGTATACCGATTACGGTGATTCTACGCAACAAAAACAAACCACATGCCCAGAAACCGAAGAGGAGTATACCGATTACGGTGATGCTACGCAACAAAAACAAACCACAGGCTCAGAAACCGAAGAGGAGTACACCGATTACTGTGATGCTACGCAACAAAAGCAAACCACAGGCTCGGAAACCGAAGAGGAGTGTACCGATTGCGGTGATGCTACGCAACAAAAACAAACCACATGCCCAGAAACCGAAGAGGAGTATACCGATTACGGTGATGCTACGCAACAAAAACAAACCACATGCCCAGAAACCGAAGAGGAGTATACCGATTACGGTGATGCTACGCAACAAAAACAAACCACATGCCCAGAAACCGAAGAGGAGTATACCGATTACGGTGATGCTACGCAACAAAAACAAACCACATGTCCAGAAACCGAAGAGGAGTATACCGATTACGGCGATGCTACGCAACAAAAACAAACCACAGGCTCAGAAACCGAAGAGGAGTATACCGATTATGGTGATGCTACGCAACAAAAACAAACCACAGGCTCAGAAACCGAAGAGGAGTATACCGATTACGGCGATGCTACGCAACAAAAACAAACCACATGCCCATAAACCGAAGAGGAGTATACCGATTACGGTGATGCTACGCAACAAAAACAGACCACAGGCTCAGAAACCGAAGTGGAGTATACCGATTACGGCGATGCTACGCAACAAAAACAGACCACAGGCTCAGAAACTGAAGAGGAGTATAGCGATTACGGTGATGCTACGCAACAAAAGCAGACCACAGGCTCAGAAACCGAAGAGGAGTATACCGATTACGGTGATGCTACGCAACAAAAACAAACCACAGGCTCAGAAACCGAAGAGGAGTATACCGATTACGGCGATGCTACGCAACAAAAACAGACCACAGACTCAGAAACCGAAGAGGAGTATACCGATTACGGCGATGCTACGCAACAAAAACAGACCACAGGCTCAGAAACTGAAGAGGAGTATACCGATTACGGTGATGCTACGCAACAAAAACAGACCACAGGCTCAGAAACCAAAGAGGAGTATACCGATTACGGCGATGCTACGCAACAAAAACAGACCACAGGCTCAGAAACTGAAGAGGAGTATACCGATTACGGTGATGCTACGCAACAAATACAGACCACAGGCTCAGAAACTGAAGAGGAGTATACCGATTACGGTGATGCTACGCAACAAATACAAACCACAGGCTCAGAAACCGAAGAGGAGTATACCGATTACAGCGATGCTACGCAACAAAAACAGACCACAGACTCAAAAACCGAAGAGGAGTATACCGATTACGGCGATGCTACGCAACAAAAACAGACCACAGGCTCAGAAACTGAAGAGGAGTATACCGATTATGGTGATGCTACGCAACAAAAACAAACCACAGGCTCAGAAACCGAAGAGGAGTATACCGATTACGGTGATGCTACGCAACAAAAACAGACCACAGGCTCAGAAACCGAAGAGGAGTATACCGATTACGGTGATGCTACGCAACAAAAACAAACCACAGGCTCAGAAACCGCAGGGGAGTATACCGGGTTCGGTGTTATCATCCAACAAAACAAACCACAGGCTCAAAAACCGCAGGGGAGTATACCGATTACGGTGATGCTACGCAACAAAAACAAACCACATGCCCAGAAACCGAAGAGGAGTATACCGATTACGGTGATGCTACGCAACAAAAACAGACCACAGGCTCAGAAACTGAAGAGGAGTACACAGATTACGGTGATGCTACGCAACAAAAGCAAACCACAGGCTCAGAAACCGAAGAGGAGTATACCGATTGCGGTGATGCTACGCAACAAAAACAAACCACATGCCCAGAAACCGAAGAGGAGTATACCGATTACGGTGATGCTACGCAACAAAAACAAACCACATGCCCAGAAACCGAAGAGGAGTATACCGATTACGGTGATGCTACGCAACAAAAACAAACCACATGCCCAGAAACCGAAGAGGAGTATACCGATTACAGCGATGCTACGCAACAAAAACAAATCACAGGCTCAGAAACCGAAGAGGAGTATACCGATTATGGTGATGCTACGCAACAAAAACAAACCACAGGCTCAGAAACCGAAGAGGAGTATACCGATTACGGCGATGCTACGCAACAAAAACAAACCACATGCCCAGAAACCAAAGGGGAGTATATTGATTACGGTGATGCTACGCAACAAAAACAAACCACATGCCCAGAAACCGAAGAGGAGTATACCGATTACGGTGATGCTACTCAACAAAAAAAAACCACAGGCTCAGAAACGGATGGGGAGTATACCGATTACGGCGATGCTACCCAACAAAAACAAAGCACAGGCTCAGAAACCGCAGGGGATTGTACAGATTTCGGTGTTGTTATCCAACAAAACCAAACCACAGGCAAACGTAATAAGCGTCTTTGTGCTACAACAATATGTGTAAAGATTTCGCGTGCTTTTTGAAAGGTTTTACTGTGATGGAAGAAGTGGAAAATCTTTTTCGGTACGGGTTATAATCGATACTTTTTATCACGAAAAATACATACAAAATGACAAAAAAACTAATACTGAGTGTCCAATAATGGTCTCCACTGTATAATTTTTTAACGACTGCATATATTTAAAACGAGCTTTGATACACGTACTAGGGTAATGTAAAGTACTTTAAGTATTATTAGTGCGGTCGACTTGTTTAAACGTGTAAGTTTATTTCAATATCGCCAAATCAGCGACCAATCCCAAATCAGCAGAGTGAATCCCCATCACCATCATTCAACGAGTTAACATTTTCTGCAATGTTATAGAAAAATGCTATCAATTTTGAAAAGCACGCTCCTCTTGTTGCATGCTGTTCTTGATTTTTTTAAAATGATAGTTTGTTTTAACTCCCGATAAATCTGAAGTGCGTCTTTTTAGCAAAAAATACCAACATCTGAAAAATCGGAAGTTGGTCTCCTAAGGGTTTAATTAATGTTCTAAACTGAAATAATCTTGTCACATTCTATGCTAAATCGATTTACTATTGTGTTTAGCATTCGTTTATTATATCATTCGTTACTGTACGACGATTATTTCTTTAAATTTAAATTGTGTTGTCGAACTTGACTCCATCGTAATGGGTCATCTGAAGGTCAGGCACGTCTTCTTTTAAGAGGGTCAAGGATTTTATGGTCAGTTGGTAACAGGTGTTACTTTTGTGCTCAAGGAAAATCGTAACTTTGAATTTTAAACATTAAAGTACAATGTACAGCTACATTATTATTTGTGCAATTTTATATCTAGTTTCCAATTTCCTGAGTTAAGAAAAAAACAATGCCTTTTCTACCAATATTTCGGTGATAGCCTCATAAACCGAGTACAGTGAATTACACATTGTCAAACCATTGATAATATTGTGTTGACTTGTACATATATCTTTACACAGTCTGTATACTGGAAATTGTAATAGTTAAACAGCCAGTGATGGATCTTATCATACAGAGGAAGAACCTATGTGATTATATTGTATTTTATATACAAGAACAAACAGTTTTGAGAGGATGCTTCGTACACTTTTATTAAATATCTTCTTGATCTGCATCAGAGCCTGTTTGCTAATCTTCAGTTATTACTGTTCTGTGTTTTCAGTGAGTTCAAGTGTATGTACAATATGAACGGATTAAAGTTAATCTTTTGTCATGGATTTCGTTTTAGTTACAAAACTTACCCCCGTAACGGAAATCAACCACCCTTACATTTTTTAAACTGATCCTATTAATATTTTAAGGGAGAATGTTCATTCCTTGGTAAAAACAATACAAAATTAAAACCTTGTTACGTCAATTTAAATTCAACATTTAGAATTTCAAGTGATCGACTTTAAATTATTCTATGATATAAAAGCCGATGGACAAAATCCTGAACATAGTTCAGAAGGTCATGACGCGCACACAATTGTACAACTCTACATAGACACTATTGATAGACTCATGTGTTATGCATGTGCTAGTAGCGTTTCTCAGTGTTGCCATTAATCGTAAACCGCAGATGTTGTGTGTTCAAACACAGGTGTACCACAACACTTTATGTTGTACCTTTGTGAATTTCGTCCAAGCTTTTTTAAAGCTTTAAATTGCATTTACTTTGGTATTTTGCCTAAGTATTACTTAAATTCATCGTTTTCATTTGTAAATAATGTTGATAACTAAAATCATCTTATCTAATTCATTAGCGGACAACCCAGAGTTTATAAAAAATAAGGTTTACCATAATTTGAAAATTAAATATCTAGATCAAAAGTATACATATTGAAGTCAAATATTCACAGTTGTGTATACTCAGAAATATACTCACTTAGCTCCCCGTATGTGTTAAAGAAAATTAGTGACATGCACCTAAGGATTTGTTGTTAATTCTAACCAAATCTTTATCATGACCAGAAATTGAGAATAATGAATGATTATGTAATGTTCTAAATATTGTGTAAAGGTCCTCAACAATTGAGGCGAAATGGTATTACTCAAAAATGCTTGAAATCAGATCATAAACTCAAATAATGTTATGTGCCGTTACAATCAAACGAGCGATAGTAAACGATTCGATAAAACCATTTGTATCTTTAATGAACAAAGTTTATAAAAGTATTGCGTTTTCAATGCTGGAAATTAAAGTTAACAACATAGGAGTTAAGTAAAATGCCACATACCTCTAACTAAAAAAAAATGATAGTTTGAATGCATAAAGCTAACACAGTTACTTAAAGCATTGAATATTAAAATCCAGGGAAGAAATATCATCTGAATGAACTAGTTCTTGCTGATTTTTTATTCGAATAGGGAATGAGAAATTCTCAGATGTACCAACTGTAAAAATTGTCTCCTAAGTTTGTTTTGTATACTATCATTTTATAAAGTACGTCCAAATACATCTCTTCTCTAAAACCGAATACTGCTGTAACATTGGAATGTGATGTTAACTGGAATGTAAAGTTAAGGCTTCTAAGATTTGTAATTTTACTGTCTCTATTGACACAAAAACAACTTCGGGAGGAATGACCTCTACGTGACGAGACGGAAGCGAGGAGGAGAGAAAGAAATGGACGCGACGGTGAAGGTAGAGTCAATGTGGGTCAGTGGAGGAGAGGATGTAGTCAAGGCCGTGGCAGGAGTGACCTCAAACCTGAAATTGAAACTGCCGCCTGTAGGCATCCAGTCTGTGGACCCCACACACAGAATCATAGCGTTGGCTTTACCAAAACGTTGTAATTAATACAATGCTTCTAGAAGTAAAGATCTCTGTATCTACCAACAATCACATAAGACCAATGTGGTTGGTTTTATGTAATCGTTGGAATCTACTACAGCTATTTAAATAGGGTTTTATCGAAACTTTGTGAAAATTTTTAATTTTTAACAAATTGAACTCATTGAAACTGCTGTTTGTAGATACTCATCCTGTGAATCTGATACACCGAATGATGAAGTTGTTTTACTGAAACATAGTAATAAATTAACACGCGCTTCTAGAATCAAGACGAATAGCCCTCGAATTTCTTTAGCCATATGTCTAACATTCGTATATTACAGGAATTACTCGAAAAATAAAATGTTTAAACAAATAGAAGGACTTGTAGAAGTCCAGCCAGTGAACTTTATACACTGAATGATTCCGTTGTTTTACGAAAAAAAAATTAATACGACGCTGCTTCTAGAAGTACAGCATGCGAACCTCTGTAAACATATAGGAATCGTGTTTATAGAATGTTTGTGAAAGATCTTTAAACGAATTGGACTCTTGCTTCTAGACACAAAGCCTTTAACCTCCTTAGGTACAGTTAATCATACAGTTGGTATTTATGATAGTAAAACAATCTTAAGTGGTTAACAAATTCTCCATTGTGCTACAGTACCGTCTTGATTGTCCTATCCACCTTGAGGGCGAACTATTACCATGGAATCGTGTCTAATTGAGAACCTGTACTTGACTGTTCTTTCGAGAGTGTTGCATATTGTTTCTTCAAATCTGTGTACATTTATGCTACTCTTCCCCCCTTAGCATTGAATATGTAATTATATCCAATGGTCTTAGAGTAAGGCAAACCTGTGGACACGAATTAGTTGTTTAGCTTTGTTACTTGCTACCTATGGATCGGGTGATTTGCTTTAACCCTCAGTCACAGTAACACAAAATTCAACAGAACAATACGCCACCGCGGCTGCTACATTGGCGGGAAGCTTGTTTAAAAGCAAGGTCATCGCATTGTTATCAGATCGGCCTGGTTATCACTACCGGATAACCCCCCCCCCCCCCCCAAATAAACACTCCCCTCTCTACTTATCTTCTGTTGTGGCTGACTATGCATAGTGACTAATGTTCCTGGCATTTGAGAATTGGATACTTTACTGTTAAAGGGAACATTCATTATTATCGATGATTTTTAATCGATATATCGGTATTTTTCTTTCCCTTTACGATCCATTACAAATTGACTACTATCTTGTTTAGGCTAAAATCAAGTCTATTATGGATTAAAACTGTTCTAAGCTAACCTAACATTACCAACCAAACTTGCTGTACTATTTTAAAAATTCCGTTTGATTACAGAAAAGGCATGTGGGGAATATTAAACGGAATTTTTAAATGTTAAAACAAGTTTGGTTAGTTTTGTTAGGTTGGTTTGGAACGGTTTCATTTCAATATTTTTTTTATACTGAACAATTTTTACAACACAACATTGAACAATATTTGTTTATCGTAGTTGTCAGCTGATAGGTTTAAATTCGTTAATATCGATATATCGATTGAAAATCATCGATAATAATGAATGTTCCCTTTAACAGGAAAATACCGAGAATGGTTTTAAGCTATTGAGGTACTGACTGACAAAGTTCGAATATTCGCGTTTTTAAGTACAAAATTCCTACCTGCCATTAAACGACGATTTATTTTTTATATGGTTCTTAAACAGAACAATGCTTCTTTGTAAATTTATTTACAGTATACAAGAGGAGGTAACAAATTGGAGATACTGTGTTTATCAATTAAAATATCTGTGTCAAACGACAATCTCCTTTCAAACCAATAAGAGAATAATAGTAATAAGGCAACACTAAATTACTGGTCCAATTATGTTTGGCCTTTTCAGTCTTTACATTTCCTATAACTATGTATTTATAAATTCATAACACATTTTTGAGTGAAAGACCCACCATAAACATTTCCTTCCATATTGGTTTAATTGGGTTAAATTGACAACTAATACAAACCAATATAGGTTTAGGATTTTTTTCGATCTGATGATTTCAACGAAATTTACCGTTTTTACAAACACACATAGAGATAAATTATTAATACTGAACAGTACCAAACAGGTTCATTGCTTTGACTATTGGATACTGTAGTAGACATCCCCTCTATATGGACCAGCTGTCACTATTTTTTTCTTTTATTAAAAAAGTATGTAGTTGCCAGTCAGACACAGAATGCACTAGTGTCTAAAAAGTAATATCAACTTCCTCAAATCGATTTTATAAAAGTCAAAAGTCAAAATTACCTCCAGATTTACAGAAGCAACAATACTAACCACCTAGAGATGACTCAATGTCTCGCATTGTATTCGAAGAAAACAATGTAATTGTTGTTCTGTTGCTGATGTAAACAACAATTAGATAACGCCCAATCACCCGCCGTTGTTGATTCAGGTTACGTCAACTGCAATCAACGATAAAGAAAATAAGAACTATTTATAAAGAAGAAATAGTGTTTAAACGTTCATGCTGATTACATTGTTACGAATATTGCTTAGGCCTAGAATAATTATTGAGCGGAGCGAGCGAAGCTCTTATACTACTCTCCAGCTTTTGTTTTACAAATACTCCTCCTGAACGGCTGAAGCGATCTGCACGAAATTTAACACAGTCATAGTACCCAACCATGGGAAGGTATAAATCTGAAATGGTACAAATCGGACCATAGGATTTTTCCCTACTTGAATGCAAACTTTTAGAAATTTAACTTGGGCCTTATGAATTAATTGGTCGCCATGACATTATTTGCGAGTAAACACTAAAAAGTAAACAAGAGCCTCGACATATGTTAGTCAACAAATCTACTACATTATAAATACAGTACAAAAGACAAAAATCGGATGAATACTAAAGAGCATATTTTAGTCTATTGTATGTAATACGAATTGATTAACAATCAGTTCTATATTGAGTGATAAAAATCATGCCGTTAATATTTAATTGTAAAATAGTTCTGTTCTTTTTAACAACAATGAATAGTCAACTAATTAGGCCTATGTTGCTTGGAGAAGGAGGAGATAAACGGGGTCATTAAAAAACACTAAAACATAATCATACCAACAAAAATCGCACCGCCCCTGATTTGCAAGTAAATTTGTAAAAAATGTACTTGTAGCTAAAAATACAAAATCATTTTACGAAATGAAATCACAACCACTTGGTTTGCAGGTAAGGTTTAAGACTAAACGGTGTAACTTAGACAATAAAATAGTCATATTTATAAATTTTATTGCACAAAAGGGATATTTTGAAAGTCGTTGACGATATATTTCTTACTTTTAACTGCTAAAATAAAACTAGACCTAAGTTATAGGCCTATACTTAAACGAATTGATAATTTTAAGAATCGATTAGCCTATCTCAATTATTCGCTGGTAGGAAATGATTACAAACAAAAAGTTAATGTATTTATAAAAAATGCATTCTTATTACAAAATTAAATTATGAATGGCTCAGATAAAAAAACTAATTAGTGAAGTTAAGATAAAATTATATTCTAACAAAATCAGAAGCAATTAATTTATGAGAACCGGATGAAACATTGTATACATATACGGTTCCTGCAAGTAGACAATTCATTCACTTAATCCTGACTTATGATTGACTTTGGATACATACTGCAAATAGGCATTCTATTTAAAATGCGAACCAAATATATCATTGACATTGAATATGCTGACTCCACTCAATATTGCAAGCAGACAACTGCATTGTACACCTAGTTATGTTACATATTTGGTAGTTAGTAAAATTGGGAATATATTTAAAACTAACTATCCTAATTACCTTCCTTAAAAAAATCATAAATTTCTATAGTATGTCAAAATGTTGTGAGTTGAAACGGTCCTAAATCGTTTATTTATAACTACGAACAGTTCAAATTTTTTATATTTATTTAAGGAAATTAATTTAAATGCCTCCTGGCCGAAAATAATAACCTTACACTGCTCGGCAATTTATTAGACCTAACCGTACTAACGACACTGTTCAACGAAAAGTTAAACAGTTTTAGTTCAAAACTTAACTCATAGGTGTCAGCACATGTTTGGTATAACCTTTGACTATTGATACAACTAGGCATTTGATTCCCATGTTAAAATGATTTGTTCTAGAGTTTTAATCAAAATGGACGAAATGAAGAGAGTCATAGACAGATAGCTATGATGTAAATTACCTCTCTGAATACATTCTAACCTAGTCAGGCTGATAGAACGATTTTTGAAAAATATAGCTTTATTTAATTCCACATCAACTATTCCAGTAACAAAAAGTAAGATATAAAATAAAATGTAAAGCACTAGTTCAATCTGTGACAGGCTCATTACTATGTCCTTTTTATATGAAAACATTGTCGAGAACTGATCCATATAGATATCTATCCGAAAGTCAATGGTTGTACTTTTTGGCAAGTTACAACTTTAAAACATCACAGTCTACGAACCAATTGTTTTATCTATATATTTAATACACAGTTGTAACACTGTTTTCTCAGTAATTACTGGACCGATCTACAAGATTTATGTCTCAAATTAAAGGGGATAGTGTGTAGATTTGCCGAACTTCCTTAGAATTTACGTTTTTTCTAAGGGCTACGACCTACAGCCCTTTAAAGGTCGAGTCAATACAATTCTTATTGAAGAATATAATACACAGTTTATAAATTATTCGTCAGCTGTTTAATGTTTGTCAGACATTTGTTATTATTTTTATAACCTCACTTTCAGTATGCAAAGTAATCGTGGTATGCAATTATTAAACTTGGAGTTTCTTTTTATAAACACACGATTTTGATCAAGGAAAGTGTATTTGTTAACTTATTTTTGAAATGTTTTAGTTGTCCTACAAAGTGATCTGAAGGAAAGTGGTAATTGAGTTTAAGTTTAAGTATGGAATGTGAAATAATACCCATAGTAGGGAACGGAAACTTATTGTTT